TCCACACGTGTTCAAGCAATACAATAGGACAAGCGCGGGGTTTTAAAAGGATTGCGCGCGAACGTCAATAAGTCCCATAGATAAATCCGTAATGATATTCGCCATCACTTCTTTCATTAATTTCATGAAATTAAAAATTCTTTGAATAAACATTACACATGTAGATAAACGAATGGCGATCATGCATCATTATGTTTAAACAACAACTTTCAAATCTGAAAGCTCGATCTAAATGAGCTATTTTATTTTATTAATCACTTTTCTATAGTAGACCCTAGTCTATATCATTTTAATTACATATTAGATAATTGTAGAGAAAGATACATCAACGTTATGCAATACTATGCAAAACGCAAGGGACTTTGTATAAATATGCGCTACGAGAAAATATCATCATCAGAATCATCACTAGGGTCTAGTAGTAGTTTAAATAGTAGTAGTAAAAAAATATGGTAAGAGGTAAAAGTAGCAGGGGCGTCGCGCGCCTTTTTCACGACTCTGGAGCCGAAAGCTAAATTGTTTTTCATATGAACTATCTATACTTTCTATAATCTACTTGCGGATGCGCAAATGGTCCTTTTCCTCGACGACATAAATATACGAATTATTTCGTCAACTTAGTCAGTATCATAGCCAGTAGCGTACGCAGGATTTTTTTCAAGGGGGGGGGGGGTTCAAATTTGAAAAAAAACGACTCAGCCAGCCGGCCGCTGAATGAGGGGGGGGGGGGGGGTAAGAGCACATTTTTTTTTGTCCCGAAAATTGGAAAATTATGCCGACCGATTTTCGTTCAGTGGGGGGGGGGGGGGGTAAGGTCAGTTTTTTTTTCTTTATTTGACAAAAAAATGAGGGGGGATTAACCCCAAAATGATTCATCTACCGTTCACGACTCTTAACCCTAATTGTCTGAAGTCAGTTTTTTCCCTCCCTCGCAAAGCGCGAAATCTTTGACGTTTTATTAAATTATCATAGAAAGAAGGCCATTTGTTGTACCGTTCTCGACTCTAATTGTTTGAATTCAGTTCCCCCCCCCCCCTGGGAAAAAAACGTGTAAACGTGATTTTTACCTTTTTTGGGCGATGCCCCCCCCCCCCCCCCCCCCCCTGGCGCTCAAGGGGGGGGGGTGCTAATTTTTAAATTTTGGAGAGCCAAAGGGTGAAAAGTTGGGCCCCCTCCCCTAAGAAATCCTGGATCCGCGCCTGCCCCCCACCCCCCCCCCCCCCCCCCCCCCCCCCCCCCCCCCCCCCTCCCGCGCAAAGCGCGGAATTTTTGACGTTTCATTAAATTATGAGGAAAGCAGATGATTCGTTGTACTGTTCTCGACTCTTTATCCTTGTCTGAATGAAGTTTCCCCCCTCCCGCGCGAAACGCGGAAGCTTTGGCGTTTCGTTAAATTATTAGAGAAAGAAGACGACTCGTAGTACTGTTCTCGACTCTTTATCCTTGTCTGAATGAAGTTTCCCCCCTCCCGCGCGAAACGCGGAAGCTTTGGCGTTTCATTAAAAATAGAGAAAAAATACTATTCGTTGTAACGTTCTTGACTCTTAATTGAATTTAGTTTACCCGAAAAATTTAAACCTCTGATTTCCTTAGCTGATATTATATGAAAGTGAAACTTCGTGAAAATACAAGTATTATATTTGCAGTCTCTCTCGAAGTCGTCATAACGAATAAAAAGTCACAGTTCGTAGGGAAAAAAACTTGTCGGCCGACCGACATTATACATCTCACCGACTTCAAACTTCTGCATTGATATATAGTACACGAGGATCGAGCAAGAATACCGATACAGCTGACCCGACACAGCAACATACTTATGCGTGTCTTTTTTGCTCCCTCGACGAGACGACTCCACCCAACAACCCCCTCTCTCTTTTATTCCCACCCCTCCTGTCTCAGGCTCCTACCTCCCCCTCTCTCTCCTCTCTTTCTCTCTTTTCTTCCCCTATTTTTCCTTTTCTCCTTTTCTTTCTTTTCCTTTCTTTCCTCTCCTCCCTTTTTTCTTTCTTTTTTTCTCTTTCTTTCTTCTCTCCTCTTTTCTTTCTCTCCTTTCTATTCCTTTCTTTCTTTTATTTTTTCTCTTCTTTCCCTTTCCCTCTTTTTTCCCCCTCCCTTTTTTTCCCCGACGGCAGCGCAATTTTACCGACAATATCCTGACACTGGCACCCCACACCCCCCTTTAGAGACGCCTCTGAATAGTAGTAGTAGTAGTAGTAGTAGTAGTAGCACGGTAGTAGCAGTGGCGTGGCTAAGGGAGCACAGGGGGCATCCCACCGACCCGCCTAAACGAATGGCAAAACAAAAAAGATGAAGGAAAAGGAAAAACAACGTGATAGTATGGTATGGTATGGTATTCACGGTTAAAAACACAATACATTATTGTGCCCGCATTCAGCAAAAGCTGTTTTTCAGCGAGGCCGTGATTACATATAACAGAATATAAAACAATGAAAATACAATTTACAAACAAATATGCAAGTTATAATAAGTGAACATATTGACAGAAATTTAAGTACAAAATAGAATCATAGTGATAAAGTGAGGGGGGGGGAAGAAAAAAAATTATAGTAATGTAGGATTGCTCATAAACGCTCTTCAAAGATAACTTATATGTGAATCAGTAACGTAGGGACAACATGATAAGTCTCAAATGAAATGTTCTGTAAGAAGTGCATTAATTTTATTTTATTATAATTTTTATTATTATACGTCGCGAGAGTAGGCATATTTTTAGTTAGACTATATCAAAAGCATACATGTATTTTGAAATAACGTCAATTTCAGAAACTGCAAGATGCGCAAAATATATAACGAAATCTCGCTAGGTTTGATGAAGAAATAACATTTCTGAGATATAAAGTATACTTTTGTCTTACTCGCTTCGCTCGCTCGCAAAATTTAGAAACGGGATACTGTCAGAAAGCGAGGGCCATAACCATTCCCATATGATGATATGATGATATTAGGGCACCTAGCTGCCCGAATATAACCGGGGAATATAACCTTAATTGTTGTATTTTATATCGAAATGAAATTAATACCGTACTGCAACAAAGGGTCTTTTATTGTCCTCGTTCGCTTCAATTCTCGCAACGTTGATAACTCTTCAATTTTATCTAGTGTATATTGATGACTAAATTACATTTTTTCCACAATAAAAGTACTAAAATTTTACTCGCTCGCAATATTTCAGATCCGGTTAGTAAATTTCGGGGCAAAAGGCCCTCACGTCTATGTGTACTGCGAGGGATGGACAACGAATCCTTTTTGACGAATTCGGATTTAGGGTCACGCGAAACTTTTCAACTCCATAAAGATGCCGTGACTAAAAAAGATGAGGTTGAAAAACGTTGATATAGTAGACTAAAGACTGTTGTCCCCCCCCCCCCATGACTGAACCCACGCTATGCCACTGAATAACAGTAAGAGGTGGCGTTCCGGGGGAGACCCCCCCCCCTCTTTCCACCTCTGTGTTGATTCCCCCAATCCAAATCTGATATGTGCCACTTCTACTTTGACAAGAGCCCATTTTCCTTTATAATAAGTGCATTTTCCATTCTAATAATTTCTGATAAGTGCTCCTTTTTACTTTGACAGGTGCCCCCTTTTCTATTTTAATAAAAATTAGTGCACTTTCCCTTTTGATACGTACCCATTTTCTTTTTCTAATACGATCCCCTTCCTATTATCATAAATGCCCCTTTTCACATATAATAAGTTTTCCTTTCAAATTTTATAAGTTTCCCTTGTTACTTTTGACGTAATTGCCCTTCGATAAATATGTGCCTTTTTTATACCTATGTCCCCACTGTCGCTTAATCCCATTTTGCGGTCATCTTACCTGTTTAAAGAGCTACAATAGTTTGAAAGAATCGGAGCAGCTTCGTGTAGCAGTAGAAACTTTTTTTTAAACACCACAATGCAAGGCAGTGGACCCAGGGCAGGGGCACAATCATTTCATAAGAGCAAAAGGCTGTGCCCCTTTTAGAAATATAATCGTGCTCGTTTTCAAAGCTACCGAATGTCCTTTTTCTAGATATATAAGAAGCGTGCCCTTTTAACACTAATCGTTGCCTCTGTTATTATCATGGCATTATTATACTCAACTTCTAAAAGAGGCATCTTTCACACTATCATCCTTTAAACCCCATGCCCAGTGGCGTACGCATGATTTTTCAAGGTAATCAACTGCCCTTTGTTCGAGAATATACAATTTAGACAATTTCGGAGTTTTTGAATTCAGGCAACTGCATTTAAATTACCAAATGACATTCGTGTTAAAAAGACTGAGACGTGATTACCATACGTGCTATGTTGTTATCACCCCCTCTTCTCCTTAAAAACAATAAATTTCTCATATAACAACCTCCCTGATGTTTGAAGTTTGAAGCTTATTTGTTTCACATTTACATCAAAACAAGTACAAATTTGTTTTATTTTTATACAACTATATAAGCGTAGATTACACCCCCCCCCCCCCAAAAAAAAAAATCAAATCAAGTATAATGTACGGGGAAATAAGTACGAAGTTTCGAAATATATAGATATGACAGGCAAGGTAATACAATGTAAAACGTGGGGAGCCTTAATAAAAAGCAAAGCTTGTATGTGAATAGTCTCCCGTATTGATTAACACAATATAGTAGGTCTGAATTAGAAAGGTATTATAGAAGGCGAAAACGGAGTAGTATATAGTAAGAGATTGAAAAAAAGTAATAATAATTATGTGCCCCTAATTTAAAACGACTAAGAGCATTTTCTCTCAAATTTCCTCCAAAACTGGCTCGCTACGCTCACTCGCTCACATTTATTGTTTATCTCATTAAATTATTATTATGATAATTATTGTCATGATAATTATAATAATACTACTAGGTTCTACTACATGTACTAATAAAACACAAGACAATTTATAATTATTGACTGGCCTTGTCCACTAGCACTCGCTGTGTTTTTAAACATAGCCCCATCTACGTTGACGGAGAGATATTCAGGAAGCAAGAAACTCACTTTGCGTGTGTAGTGTTTTATTGTAACCCTTCCGCGATCTAGTTCCTTGTGCGGAATCCAGATAAGTGGCCAAAAACACTCCTTTTTCTGAAGGTTGTGGACCGGACTACAACTAGAATCATGGCTAACAGGTTACCGGCATGTGTTATTGATCCGGGGACAGGGTAAGTTAAAATATTCTTTCTATCAGTATTCCGTAAAGCTTCATTTTTATCGCACTTGTTACTGAACATGAAAGGGCAACTCCCATCTTTATGTTCATTCGACGCTAGTGTGTGTGTGTGTGTGTGTATTGGGTTTTTACAGACGTGTATCAATCAGATATGATTATTTACGTCTGGGACCGACCTTTAAACGTCACCATCCGAAAGACGTGACTCAGTTTCGAACCTGCGTCCTGGGCTGAATCAGTTTGTAACTTCCACTTTTTAGCTGGATTACAGGCGCACGCCACAACGCCTAGTGCTATAATATCCTACGCCAAAAGGAAGTGCTAAAGACAAGAGAATTGATTGTGTTTTTGTGACTTTCAAAAGCACGGCCAATTTGACTAATCTTAATATGGATTTATATAGAACAGTGTGAAACCAGTTGAAAGAAAGGCAGGGTGATCTTGGACATATTGTGGAACAACTGGAATAGGAAATCACTAAAATCATGATCATCACATTCACAGATATATCTGCTCAAGTTATTTTGAGTGCCTGTGGCTGTGCATTGGCATTGGTGAAAATGAAAGAATTAGTGGTTTCCTATTTTATGACCAAGTCATAATCTTTAGTTAAAGATTACACGAAATTGCATGTTATAGTTTTCAAGGGCTGTATTAGAAGTAGGTCTTGAGTCTGACAAAATTTGGTTAACATTTATGATTAAATCATGTTATAACTATAGGGTCTTGGTCTTGGTCTTGGTCTGACTCTGTCTCTGAGCTAAATTATGTTAGAAAGGGTGACACATATCTAAGCATCTACACAACTCACAAGTGTACATATTTCATCTATAGAATATAAACAACTGTAATAATAACCTAGGCTATGGTTATGGTATGGTTATTAAAGAGGGAAGTCACCCTAAGGTTTTCTTGATTTTATAAAATCTGAAAAATGAGAGATTCAGATTAGACTCTAGGGAAAGTTTAGATCAAAATTCAGTTAAAAACTGGAAATCATGAAAATTAAAACAGTTGTAACTTGTAATCCATGAATTCCAAAGTGGCAACTCTCTCGTCATATCTGGCCAGGTCCAAGTATATATATCCAAGTGATAGTTTCATTTACATTACTTATAATTTTCTTAGATGTCAATGATGGAATTTATTTATCTCATAGAGGGGTTGTTGTGTACAAACATATTTGCAATGATCATATCTAGAGTGCATGTATGATTGCATTTTTTTTAGAGAATTCAATAGTTGTTTATTAATCCAGTTAAAACATGTACATGTATATCATTTTACATTAAAAGCAGCAGAAACTTGATTTTATGAAGTGGATATATCACCGTACTGGATCACTCGGTTTGTTATTCGCGTCCTGCCATGGCACTAATGTCCTTTTGCCAGACTTTCATCTGCTTTTGCCACTTTCTACCCAGGTGATGTAAATGAGTACCTGACAGGATGAAAGTCATTGAATGCCAAAGCACCTTGTTGGGGTAACTCGGTCAATCCCAGGTTGAAAATAGTAATGCTTAGAAGCAGTAATAAGTGATATATTATTATTATTATGTTTATTTTTTTCCACCAGATACTGCAAGTTAGGCTTTGCAGGAAACACTGAGCCTCAGTACATCATTCCCTCAGGTGAGCCGATAATACTTGAATTAAATCCATTATAAACCCATTACCTATGAGATTGAGTGGTCCATGTATGAACCCATTACCTATGAGATTGATTGGTCCATGTATGACGCCCATTGGAATGAGAGAATTCAGTACCGTATCTGCCGGCGTAAAGGCCGCAGTATTTTTGGAAGAGAAAATATCAAAAAGTCGGGGTGCGGCCTATGCGACGAAAGAGTAAAAAAAAAAATTTTAAATAAAAAAAAGTAAGTCAAAACCAGCACAAATTTGCACACATGGCCCTCGCGTACACAGATAACGCGTGGCGCGCGCGCCACGCGTTCCTGATGGGCCCGACCTAGCGCCACGCGTTCTTTAAAAAAAAAAAAAAAAAAAAAAAAAAAAAATCATTTTTTTTTTTTTTTTTTTTTTGAAAAATCAGAAAATTCCGGATTTTCTGGTCCTAGAAATCCCCAAAAAACAGAATATTCTGAATTATTCGTAAGGGTTGGCAGGTATGGTATTAAAAATTCATCAAATTACTTGTAATACTTGTAAAAAAATAAATTTAAATTTAAAAAAAAAAAAAAAAAAAAAAAAAAAAATCAAATTTTTACTTTTTTTTTTTTTTTTTTTTTGGGGGGGGGGGGGGGGGGGGTCAAATTTTCCCTCGGGTCGCGCCACGCGTTTTTAATTTCTTGGCGAGAGGCCTGCTTGCACATATAGGACTGGATCTACGAACGGTACAATAACTACACATTTCCACACATCTTACCGACGATTTTATCTTGCATTGTTGACAAAAAAAACTTCCAAAAACAACATCTGCCGATAGATCTTGATCTAAGTTTGTGCCAATGCATTGCAAAAGTAAAAGAAGGGCCTGTTTATCGGAGCTGCCGCGAAGTATCCAGCACGCAAAGTCACTATTTTGAATCCATTTCAATACACAAGAGAGAGGCGCAATGTATACATCACTAAAAACTACATGAGCTATCATCAGTGCGTGATGGCCGAGCGGTATAAGGCAGTGATTTTAGTCACATGAACATTTGTACGCAAGAGATCGAATCCCGACTTTGGCAAAAGATTTTTTTTATTTTTTTTAATTTTTTTTTTTAATGTCAAAATCGGGGGTGCGGCCTTATCGCCGGCAAATACGGTAGTCAATATGTTGAAAACTTGATATAAGCCCTGAGGTACACCAAAGAAAAATTAGTGATTTTTTAAATTAGTGACTTTTTTCAGGAACACATGTCACATTAGTGCTGTAGCCGAACCGCCGAACCGAACGGAAGTTCGCCGAACATGGCACTTCCGAACCGAACCGAACCGAACCGAACGCAAAGGCCTGGTTCGGATGTTCGGCAAAAAAAATGTAAACGTTTTTGCAAGCTAATAAACTTTTCATTTTGTACCTAATTTTCATGTTATGATTGCTCATATTATATTTACTTTTTTTCCCATTTTCCGCCCTTGTGATTTATGCCTATCCAGTGGTGGGCGCAACTTCACTGGCGCCATTTAAATCCCAAATCCTGACCACGCTACGTCGCGATCGCAAGCCATAAACAAGAATACATGTGCGTGATCAAAACAAGTTTAGCTCAATTTGCTCAAACCCGTTGAACAAAACATTAATATTTTAATTGTAACCATATCGGACAAATTTTACAATATAAATAATGAAATAAATATTTATTATCGTATGGTATTTATTTATTCAGGAAAAATAGGGATTTTATATTTTTCCTATTGAAAATAAAAACTTATAAAAAAACAGTTCTTGGCGAGCCTGAAAATTTCTATTCAAGATGGCACCTTGTATGACTCTAACATTAGACAACAACCGTCTCGGAAAATCTTTTAAAAATATCATTGATTGACAAATTGAAAACATGATTCTTTTAAAATTGAAAATAAAACACGATTCAAGACGGAAATACGAATGTAAGTAGTATTTTTCTTCACAAATAATTACGTTTAGAGCAGTTTTTTAATGTGAAATTTGTGCTGGTCGGAAGCAGTGTGCAGAAGTCCTCTGTGCCGGTCGGGCCCGGCAGGGCGGGCGGCCTGCCCAGTCCCGACCGCCGTGGCTATAACGCTGCTTGCTATTAAATTACCGAACCCCGAACCGAACCAAGTTCGGGTGAAAAATTGCCGAACTCTGCCGAACCGAACCGAACACGAACATAGCGTCTGACTTACAGCACTATGTCACATGGTAAGCAATTTGCTCATATTTCTCTATACATCTGTGAAGGGAAGCTTTAAAAGGTATAACAGAAGAATGTTAGTACTGGTATATGATTTTTTTTTAAAAGAAGGAAATAATGGAAAACTGGTGCAATACGATGATAACTGTTTTAAAGATATTAATTAATGCTTTTAAACATGTACATTAAAGCAGACCTCTCTTCCTTCAGTTCATTGCACGTATCCTTTATGTTCTCTGTATTCCTCCTCAGATATTTATATATGCAAGGCTCTATTTTTCTTCCTGAGAACAGCACAAGTTTCAGAGTGTGTGGTACAGTAAAAGTGATGTGGTAAAACAAAACGTGATTTATTTTAATTTTTCTTTTCATCACCAGCCATTGCGATCAAAGAATCAGCTAAAGTTGGAGATCAAGCTTCTCGAAGATTAGGGAAGGGTGTGGAAGATCTGGATTTCTTCATTGGAGATGAAGCCATTGATAAACCAAACTACGCTTGCAAGGTATGTGTATTCATCATTCTACAGGCCTGATAAAACCTGATTTTAATAACCCGATTTAAATCGGTTTCCTGATTTTTTAGATTTTTTTTTCAATTTGTTTTTCTTTATTTTTTCCTGATTTTCCAGATTTTCCCCTTATTTTCTTTATTCTTACCTATTTTTCCCTATATGGCCCCCAATTTTCCTTCCTCAAAAGGGGGGAATGTTGTTAGATGCCATTTTTTCCCTGAATTCTTTTTTTTTTTTTTTTTTACTCAAAGGGGATGTGGTTGAGGGGAAAACCCTCCCCCCCCCCCTTTTTTGTGCTCATTATCACCCCTGATTCTAACAAATGTTGTATTACTTGAAAGGATTCACCTATTGAATGCTATGATGCTTCTTGTAGTGTAAGTACTGAGTAGCATTAATCATTAAATGATCTTCTCAAAAGTATTTTGTCACTCAGTAACAAGCCTGCTACATTTATTGACAAGTTGATACTTTCAAAGGACGACTATTTCTTTAAGGAGAATGGCTTGTCTGTGTTCAGTGGCTCAATTGATCTTTTAATTACCACACTTGACTCAGGTGATGTAAATAGGTAAAGTAGGGACTAATTTATTAAAGCTTCTGTGCCTTCATTAGGTTGAGGAAGCTGAGCTAAGTTAATAATTCAGAGCTCTTTTGAAGCACATACCTGTATATGTGTAGACTTGGATAGGTAGTGATATGAGCTTTGCAAAAACTGAGTATTATGGTTATTGTTATTATTATCATTATTATCATTACTGTAATATATATTTCCTGTATGATTCTTTTGCCTTGCACACCAGTATCCTATTCGTCATGGAATCGTTGAGGATTGGGACTTGATGGAGAGGTTTCTAGAACAAAGTATTTTCAAATATCTGAGAGCAGAACCAGAAGACCATTACTTCTTGCTGGTAAGTTTCACATAACCTCGATGTGACCATTGGGTACTTTTTATGCGGTGTTCCTACCATTATTTTATCCTTAAGTCAAGAGATTTTTTTGCTTTTAAAAGAAATAAATAGAAAAAACAGTCATGTCATATGAGACACATTACATAAAAGAACCATTACAAATCATAAACGATACTTCTACTCTGATATCACTGGTTGTTAATGAAAAGTACATGTGTGTTTGTTTAAAGACAGACATATTTATATATCACTTTAATTAACAAATAATAAGAGACTGGGCATTGATGAAAGGGGAAAAGTGATGTAGTATAACTTGTAAAAGTTTTCTTTTGGAAAGGAAAGTCATAAGGTTTTAGTGTCACGTTTGATTGAAATATTCTTCTTTATTTCATGAATGTATGGGATTCCTAGATTATATGTTTCATCACCTGCATTTAGTAAAAAAATGTCTAAAAATAGAAAATGTTGGTTAGTCCCAAGTTTTCAAAAATGCTTCCATAGAAATCAAGTTATTTGACATATATGTTTTGCACAGACGGAACCTCCCCTGAACACACCAGAGAACAGAGAGTACCTCGCTGAGATCATGTTTGAGTCTTTCAATGTTCCAGGACTCTACATTGCTGTACAAGTAAGTAAAAGATTCATTCAGTTGAGGATTTTTACTGTTTGGTGTTATTAATGTTTTTCATGGACAAAAAGGATATAAACTGGTAATATTTGTATTGAATTAATCCTTTTCTTTGTTTTGTTTTATTTGTTTTTTTCTTTTGTTTAGTCTTACATATCCTTGCAAACTAATTCAAAGACATGTGTCATTTAATGTTTTTACAATCAAATCATGGGGGTGTAGCCTATCTTATTGGTCTTACACCAATTTAAGAGTGCATGTCCATGCAGTTTTATGATTGAGATTATATCCATTATGTGTACACCACAAGAAAAGGCACAGACCATGTGAGAGCATTTCAAAAGCTGATTTAGAGATGTGACCTCTTCATGAAGGGACAGGAACTGTCATCCAGCATGTATACAAGTATGAATCTATAAGACACTAATCATTGATGTATACCAAATATAATCTATAAGAAACTAATGATTGATGTTTTCATTCCACTCTGTAGGCTGTGCTAGCCCTAGCAGCATCCTGGACATCAAGGCAGCAAGCAGAACGTTCTCTGACCGGTGTCGTGGTCGACAGTGGTGATGGTGTGACTCACGTTATACCTGTGGTATGTTATCTTATCTATCCCCCCCCCCTTCCATATGAGGGACAGAATGAATGCATGCAAGAGACCCCTCTCCTGTAGACCATTCCTAATGATATTCACATGAAACGTGACTGTTTTGTAGTAATATTTTAATCAATAGGTGAAAGTAAAATTTGTTACTTACAATTGTTTAAGTGACCCAAACATGTGAAGCAATGGAAAGCTATATCAAATACATTTTGGATTGGATTGTGAATAGACAGAGAAGTATGGTTTTGAATTGTATAGCTTGTTGTTTTGGCATGTATAGCATGGAAGAGACCATGTGTGTGTTATAAATATTGCTTGTCCCCTGTAATGATTATTATTGTGCTCATATAAGTTTACATTGTTTGTGACCCTTTAATGTTGTATTTTTCAGGCTGAGGGTTACGTCATCGGCAGCTGTATCAAGCACATTCCTATCGCTGGTCGTGATATCACATACTTCATCCAGCAGCTTCTAAGAGAACGTGAACCAGGCATACCTCCTGAACAGTCCTTAGAGACAGCCAAGGCAATCAAGGAACGTTGGGGATACATCTGTCCAGACATCGCCAAGGAGTTCACCAAGTACGACACCGATCCATCCAAATGGATCAAGAAGTTTGATGGAGTCAACTCTATCACCAAGCAGAAGTTCAGCGTTGACGTGGCCTACGAGAGATTCCTGGGACCTGAGATCTTCTTCCATCCTGAGGTACAAACAGCGCTCATCTCAAATCTGTATCGAAATACTACCCTAGGGAGACACCAAGAAAAATACTGCCCTAGGGAGACACAGAAAGTGGTCTTTGTAGGCAGATCGTTGTTACACAATGGTTTCAATTAATATATTTAAACGAGAAATTTTGTCTTAAGGGAAACAGGACTGATTTCAATCTGCCGTCAACTTGTCACCTGTCTATAAAGGCCTCCTGTCCTGTCACTTATAGGCATTTTGTTAGAGACCTTCAGTCAATAATATTAATTATGCATAGACAATAGTATGATTGACAGATAAGCCACACTTATTCAAACTTTTTTTTTTATAGCAAGCAGATATGTGTTAAATTGGGTCTTTTTTCCATAATTACGTGTAACAAACAGAAGTGTTATTAATGAAGGCAAGATGAGAACATTCATGAGATAGTCAATGATGATGCCGACTTGATGATGAAGATGATGATGATGGTGGTGGTGATGAAGATATGTTGATTATGTTTAAAAAGCAATATATTAATCATAAACATGGGTAATTTGGAGATAAAAATATTGATAGATAGGTAAATATTTATGCTTCCCATAATTGTGTCAGGAATGATGATTGTCAAAGGTTTACCTGCCATTGCTTTCCTCTCTAGTTCTCCAACCCTGACTTCACCACCCCCATCTCTGAGACGGTGGACAACGTGATCCAGAACTGCCCCATTGACGTCAGGAGACCACTCTATAAGGTAACCTACCGTCTCTCATTCAAGTCTACCAATCTACAAAATAATACATTTGTTCTGCATGTTAGTAGAGCCATGTCATAATACTATATTTAAAATATGAGCTTCAAATATTTCTTCTGTTAAGAGATTTTGAAAGTTAAAATACACCCTCAATGAACATAGAGTTTCCAACAGATAAATAGTTTTTGACAAGCATATTTTGTCAAAATATCTAGTTTTTGAGAATTAACATGCAGAATGCAGTATATAAATCAAATATAAACTGCTTATATTGGGGTCAAGGTTATAACTATAGCTCCCCTGTGACTTTAGGACTTTACAATATGCCCTCGACTTTGTCTTCAGGGCACAGTACGGTTTCGAGATCACCGCAGGCCATAGTTTTAACCATGCCCCTCATAGCAGTCAGTATTTCTGTATTGTGTATGATGTATTATAGTAGAAGGAAGTATCATGTATTATAGTAGAAGGAAGTATCATTCTTTACACATTATATTATAATATTGTATTAATATTAAATGTTTGATTTGTTTGATTAGAACATTGTTCTGTCTGGAGGCTCCACCATGTTCCGTGACTTTGGCAGGAAGTTGAAGCGTGATGTGCAGAGGATTGTGGATAATCGTCTCAAGCTTAGTGAACAGCTCAGCGGAGGCAAACTCAAGGTGAGATACCTCATATCATGGCTGCAATAGAAGCCATCTTACTCCTTAATGTTGAATTTAATACAAGTATTTGTATATCATATAGGCTGCTTTATTAATTGGTACTATAGGCATGACATTTACCATTAGATGCCATGTCATATAGTGCAGTGGAACAAATTATTGTCTCAGCAATCGCTCTTCTTGTACCTACATGTTATTAACGCAGCTTCCCTTTTTAAGGATTCACATACATGATAGGTTATCAGAAATAAGATATACCGTCATCTAATTTGGGGATTTAAAAAAGAAAAATTTAACCCTTAGTTGCCTCAAGAGTGTACTATGCCCCATACTTTGTCTCAGGTCACAGCACAGTTTTGAAATCACCTGGTGCCCCACATACCAGTCAATATCTGTATGATATACTAACATGATTACCCAGATCAACTTCACAATTTGGACTTTGTGTATGTTGACTATTCAATAAAATAAAATAGGCAACATTACAAGACTTTAAGTAAAGATATAATGTACATCATTATGATGCTTTAGATCAAACTAATACCTTTTGTACATGTAGGTTTGTTATTATTTCATGATTTGTGAGAGTGATCCAATCCAATCCATAGAGTATCTGGTAGAGCGCTTTCATCTTGCAGAAGGGGATTCACAATATGCTCCACAGAGTAATATGAAGGACATGTAAACAATGATAAAACATTCCAAAAGACCAGCAGAGACTTATAAAACATGTTCTCTGACAAAATAAGTGATCATTCAAATATATCTTGAACTGGTCCAACAATGTAGCAGCATTCAGAGTGAGAGAGAGAGAAAGTTTATTTGAATTGTGGATGTGTTAGAATCTAAATCTGTGATATCTTGTGAGGATACCAACTTAGATGTGTACTTTCCATCTTTGACTTTGTTTTCAGCCCAAGCCCATCGAGACTCAAGTCATCACACATCACATGCAGCGATACGCTGTTTGGTTTGGAGGCAGTATGCTCGCATCTACGGTAAGTCTCTAATCATTGTGCATCCTCTCTTTGGATTTTTTCCCCTTCTTTTTTAACAAAGATATTTATATATTGATTCAGGGACAACTACCCCTTTTGATTATTATCCTTGGACATTTTTGCCCCTTGATACTAACCCTCTTGGACAACTAACTCTTGGTGAATCATCACCCCCAGACAAAAAGTACCCCTAAATTTTTTACTGTGGACAATTTTTCCCCGGGCAACTTTACCTGGATACAATTACCCCCTGGATTACTATTACTGCGTCAAGCATGCCTCTGTAAACTACATTCCCCCTCCCTCCTTCCCACATATACACACACACACACACACACACACACACACTCCAAAAGGGAAAAAACTCATTACTGCATTGGGTAACATGAACAATGTCCTGTTCTGTATGTTATAACACAGAGCTACTCAGTGAATATGCGCAGGAACTTTGTAGCGCACAGTAGTTATTCATTTACACAAATAAATACAAATTAGGCTTTTTTTAAATTGTGGCGGCTTACTGCATCATATCTGAATGAGCCTAAACATGGATTTGGTGCACCCACAAGTTCTTACTTAGATCTATGCAGGCAAACCCCTGAAAAACCTTGATCCATGCGTCTTGGGAACATCATTAGTATGTAGCCCTGCAATGTAAGATCAATAGGAGATTATGAAAGGATTGAAATCAGTAACCATTTTATAACGAGTTGGCCTTAGAGATGATAGTGTGATATTATACAAATGATTCATGTTTCCGAGTGCATTAGTGAATATGCACTGTACACAGGTTAAGTCTCGTTCATTGTCCTGCTCATTGCAGCTTAACCGATCGCAGTTCATATCACTAATGCACAAGCTATTTTTTTTTTTGCACGTTAGGCGGAGCAGGAAAGAATACATGGTTACGTGTTTTCATCCGACCAATTAAATTCTAGAAACCGGTTTATTTGCAGATCTTATATTTACCAATCAGGTATTTCAATTGTATTTTTTGTACACTTTTGATATCATGATATACATATCTGTTTTTATTTTGCTCATTCAGCCGGAGTTCTACACTGCTTCTCATACTAAGTCTGATTATGATGAGATTGGACCCAGCATCTGTCGCCACAACCCTGTCTTTGGAGCCATGGCATAGAGGGCGACAAACAGAGAGAGAGACAGAAGTGATGGGAGGTAGAGAGGAAATATATAGAGATTGTAATGCTATTGACAACCATGGAAAGATTAAAATAATCAACATCATCACTTTGAAAATGTCTTGGTTTTTTGCCAATAACAAGATCACCACTTTAAAAGCATCATCATTTTCATAATCGCTATCTCAGTTATCATCATCAACATTTTCCCCTTTGTTTACCGTGCCCCCCCCCCCCCCCCCCCCCCCCAATAAATTCTGTATCTATCACAGAATGTGATAGACTAGTTTGATGACCAATCTGAGATGAAATGAATCATTTTTCAATTCAATTCAAAATTATTTCCACAATCTGATAACCATGAATGTATGGTGATGATGGTGATATTGAGAATAAGATGATGATGACAGTGATGATGATGATTAGAATTAAAGAGGAGATATTATTCCAGTTTCTTAGCCATGTCTTGAATGCTTCCCTCTTGTGGCAGGTAGAAAGACAGGGAGCAACGTAGTGATATTTTATATTCATGCATATGTAGATGATATTCTCACCAACTTATCTATCATTACCAAATAAAGATCAAGATTATTAGAAACTTACCAAGATTGTGATAAAATTGTATGGGATAAGTTTGAATTTTAATTATAATGTATGGATTGGCTTTATATTTGGATATAGATGTATGTTACAAGCCACCTTGTTTTATTTCAAATTATGCATCAATCTGTTCCTTCTACTGATTATTTTTTGTTGTATAGTCTTAATCATTGTGGCAGTATGTTGTAAAAATCTAAATATGATTTACCTTACTGTACATGTGATGATTTTATACATTTTTTCTAATGGATAGAGCATATACGGTAGTTTAATTCATGATGTAGCATAAAAAACATTGACTTTCACAATTAGTTTGGAATAATGCTTGTGTACTTAGGTAAATATTTAATCTGAAGTTTGTTAAAATGTATTTATTCTTCATTTGAAAGCAGCACATTGATTTAATCCAGTATCAAGCTGGCTAAATAATCTCTTTAAAAAGCACTTAAGTTTGATGAACAACCATTTGATTTCCGATACAAAAATTCCTTGTGGTAGAAAGAGTTGTGTTGTAAGACATGGTATGTGAACTTTATACAGGAAACTTCATGTTGACTTTTACAATCCAGGATTTGAATAAAGGCTACCGTAATCCTGAATGACAGAAACCATTTTTTCTCCAGTTGTTAAGAAGGAAAGAGCATCCAACATGCTTTTATTGAGATGAAAGCTGGGGGAAAAAGTCCCATTTATTATGACCACTCCATAAAAACACCTCAAAATATGTACAGATTTGTTTGGTTTTTGTTTGGAGGTTGATATTTTACCTACATCCACGTTGTGTGTTACTATGTAGTATTATAAGTAAAGAATAGTTGTTCTGGTGGAATATTTGGTTATGAAACTCAGGCAGCTTCTTCTTGCTTTTCTTTGGGAAATTCATCATCAGTAGATAGCCGAGTATGCTTCCAAAGTATTTGTTCTTTCTACGGTATATCATGTGCAGCTTTTCTTTGATGTCCCTCGTTATATGTAGGAAACGTAAAAAGTGCCTGATTTTAGAGAAAAGGAAGGAGTTAAGAACAGCATGGTTCAATTTTTCTCATGTATTTACATAATCATGAATGTAGTTAAAAATTGCTCAAACCTTTGAGGAAAATAGTGCATACCATTTGTAATGTCATAACGATCATCTGCACTTGTATTTGATGAGCGGTATTAGAATGCATTTGAGTAGTATTCCTTGGAATTATTTTGCTAGGAAACAAAAAGACAACACCATGCTTTATCTCTACTATTGTATAGACATTTGAATAGAATATTTTGCAAATTGATACCATGAAAATGATTTGGATATTGGACCAAGTCTAATCAGTATTGCATGATTGCCTAGTACTGGGTAAAGGTTACATCATCAATTATAGTTACTATCGTCTTTCCCAAACCGAACCTAGTAGAGACAAATCTTTTCTTCTGAGCTCCGTTAGATGAATGTCCATCATGAGGTTAAGATATCATGTAACCATTGAAGAGCCTTAACAAAACTTGTTAGAATATCCTTATTGGTCAGTCACTGTTGCATGTCTTTTAGTATGATATATCCACAAATCAGGTCATTTCCTTTGATTTGATGCAAATTAATAAATACACTTTTATTATGCCTACATGGTTATTGTGTATGGTGCTTTCTTGCATTGTAGCTCCTGTCTGTTCAAAGTGTTAGAAATATATTTCTTTCATTTGTGCTTGGTATGCCTCTTGTAGATATTGTGAGTTTGGTATGCTGGAGATTGTTTGTTGTTTGTTTTGTTGTGAGAATTATTGCAATAAGAAGTAAAAAAAAAAGTTGAATGCATTGTGATTGGAAATGTTAATGGTTTCCATTTCTCTTTTTGGAGTTTTTACATAAGAGAAGCTAACTAAAGCAGAATCTCCATTAACAACTGAATTATTCATACCCCTTGTAAATTTTATGTTTTGTTTTGTTTTTCGTAACTCGAGAATGAAAGGTGGGCTGGTTGAATTAGGGCCTTTGTTGAATACCTTTTAATGTCACATTCTCAAGGAACATGAATCTGTACAAATCAATTTTTCACATATTTGGGTATGAATAATTCAGTTCTTAACTGTATATACATCTACAGGTATATTTTGATGCAGTGCACCTCTCTCTCTTTCTCTCCACTGTATACTTCATTCTCTCATCTTTGTACCGGTATATGTACGCTATCCTTATTCTTACTCATTCTCACATCTCACAAGCTACTCAGTACTTACAACACTGAAACCACTTTGATGTAAATCAAACGGCAATAATTGAACACAAATTTCATTTTGGCATTTTAATCTCAATTTGTACACATTTTGGTATAAAAACAGCCATCAAAACGATACATCTTTGTAACTCGGTATGTATAGTTTGTTGATAGTTGTCTAGAATGGATTGAGGTGTTACAATGACAAGCAAAACATGGAGAAAATTCAATCTGCAAAATGCTTTATGTTAAGCCAAATACAGAATGCATTGATTTTAGACTGATGATTAAAGGGCAATCCAACCCTACTAGGTTCATTAATTCATTTGAATGAAAGCAAAACAAATTAGAGAAACTCAAAATGGTGAAAGTTTGAAATTAATCAGACCAATAATAAGAAAGTTATAAATGATTGAAATATGAGATCACTACTTCTATGCGAATCTCAAATTGGAATTTTGTAAGTGGATTGTGACATAGACATGGATAACTCTCCCGTTTGTCTGTTTTTCTCACAAGTGCCTTCACCTTGGGGCACTTCTCAAATTATATTATGGAGAGTACATTATTACAGATCCTCTAAAAAGAAAAGACCATCCTGAGTCATATATGCTTGAATTTTTACTTTTTAAAATTTTAGTAATTTTTGTTTTGGAACAAATGAGAAAGTTGTCCACACCTACATCACAGAGACATCACCAATTTTGCCAATTCGAAGAGCCCATACCTTTAGTAGTCACAATGTTAAAACATGTGTAACTTTCTCATTTTTGTCCGATTTCATTCAAACTTTTACCAGTCTGCTTCTCAAATATATCCTGCTTTCTTCTAGAGTAGTTTGCTCTTAAGGTTGGATTCCCCTTTAAAGAACTCAAAATATCAGCCCAAGACTACTTTTCTTACACACCAGCCATTATTTATCATTATGAGTCAATATAAGCCCACTATAATATACACACTGAACTTTGTACAAACCAATAAATGTATATATAATCATATACAACATCATGAGCTCTTGCGTTGCTATAGCAACAATTCTTACAAAAAATAATTCTGGAATTCTTCTCTCTTTTATACGAAAATGTACAATAATATGGAGTATAAATAGTCATAATATTCTCATACACTAAGAATATAATTATCTAATATGATTTTTTTTTCATTTTCATCTTTATAAGAAATAAAGAAAGATATAATGTACTTAAAGAAATTAGCCCAACCAATCATAATTGAGAATGTAAAATGAATACTGATACAAACAAGAGACACTGTCTATGATTGGTGGATATGGAGTATTAACAAATAGACAAACAGGTACCAGTCATTTCCCCCATATGTTGAACTTCATTCGCAAATGCTTGGAAGTTGTACAAGACTGCAGTGTGAAAGTTCAACGTTTGTGGTGGAAACATTCCTTTAATCTTGTCCAATAATCACATCCCGTTGCGTAAGTAATGCTCCAAACTATTTCATTTTGATAATGAGAACTTTCTTGTAAAAACATAAAAAATAGGCTATGACTATTTAAGTCCAAGACACAACCGTTTTCCAAGCAAGCAAGAAATACTTAAAGCAATCTACTAATGAACTGCCCAGATGCCCTGAAAGAAATAAAATCCTGATTTCAATGTGACCTTTATAAACGGAATTGAAATGGGAGTGTAAGCATGAGAAAAATTTCCTGTTTGGAGAGAGCAGATATCTCTAAAGTAAATCCTTGCTAAATGGGACCAACATTTCTAACACTTCTTCGCCTAAGATAATGCAGCATAGTATGGACTAAGTAAATATGTTGTTTTCAGAGATACCATATATACTTCAAAACATCATGCATAGCTAATTTTTGAACCCATTATTTGAAACCAGTTACCAGTACTTAACATCAACTGCACGAGGCATAGCATGGGTCCTTTCATTAGGGGGGGGGGGGGGGGGGGTACCTTAACATGGGTCACAAAGGTGAGGACAATTGTTACAGGTTCTTTGAAATTCTGTTCCATATCTTGATGTAATGGTTCCTGTAGACATGGTGTATCTGGTACATACCAAACGTAATGCATGTATTATTAGTAAGTTAACGTAAAACATATGTCAATCTTTATAACAAACATACACTAAGTACATTTGAAACAAATCACAAACACATGTTACTTTCTACTCCTGAGTCCACAGGCAGATATCTTATCATTTAACCCACTGCCTGTAGGAAAACAATGGTTTCTGTACTAGACATATGGGAATTAAAGAGTTCAGTATTCAACAGCTTAACCAATATAGAGACTAAGAGATAAATAGAAATGTTTTTGAACATATATGACAACCTTAAAGGAGATTTGACTCTTACAGTAATTAAATCTGCAAATATACCTACAAAGTTAAGATGACATGCAATTATTTAAGCACTGAGATCAGCAATCTACATGGACATTCAATGATGTGACTGTCATCTAAGGAAGAGAGAAAGGGAAAGAATGATAGAGGGGAGATGGAGGGGGAAACACAGGAGGAAGAGAGAGAGAGAGAGAGAGAGAGAGAGAGAGAGAGAGAGAGAGAGAGAGAGAGAGAGAGAGAGAGAAAGAGAGAGGGAGGAGAGAGGGAGGGAGGGAGAGAGGGAAGGAGGGAGGGAAACACAGAAGGAAGAGAGAGAGGAAGAGAGAGAGAGACAGAGAGAGAGAGAGAGAGAGAGAAAGAGAGAGAAAGAGAGAGAAAAAGAGAGAGAGGGGGAGGGAAGGAGGGGAGAGAGAGAGAGAGAGAGAGAGAGGGAGAGAGAGAGAGAGAGAGAGAGAGAGAGAGAGGGAGGGAGGGGGAGGGAGAGAGAGATGATGAATGGAACAAGTCAAACGACTGTATGGTAGAAAGAAAATCTTTAGAAAGACCAGAGAATAATTAAAAAAGAGGGAATAACTAATTTGAAGCATTAGCAAATAGCTACTACAATGTATCTCATTTTGTGCAGACCAATACCAATCTGTCTCTTTGTATACTGAAGATCAATGTAGATTTGGACTACATGCATATTGTAATGAATGCTACATGTAGTTACAGAGTAGAACCAGGGACTTATCCCAAGTCCCTGATAGCACCATGACAGGCTTGACAATTTGCTTATTTGACAGGTTGCTTTTTTGTTTGTGGGGGGAAATGGCTACCATATTTTGAATAATACCCGACTGTTTATGGGCACTATGAGCCACTTTGCTTACACATCATGGTAAAAACACTTAAGAAATATTAATGAGAATCAGAGATTCAGAGATTGAGAGAGAGAGAGAAAGATATTAAGAGAGAGTGAGAGAAAGAGAGAGCGAGAGTAAATAGAGAGAGATGTAAGGCTATACATGTACCTTTGTACACTAACAATTCAAGGTTTTTGCAAACAGGCACTTAGAATCTGACGTTCCCTCAGGGGATAAAATCCAGAAAAAAGGCCGGATATTCAAAAGAATTACTAGAAAGATTAAGTTATTTGCTCCAGTGACTGATAAACAAGTAACTTGACTCACGTATTAAAGACAAACAATTACAACACACTACATCACATTGACACACAATAGACTCTAATGCACATAGGCACATATGTTATATGTTATACTCAATCATACTTTTGTTTAAAGTGTATGCATATATATTTGTTATATCTATATATAAACGTATAGTACAGGATTCTATACACATACACAGTTATATACATATACATGTACAAAAATGTACATACATGTATCATAGTAGTTTGACACACACACAACTATATCCGATCACATATTGAGAGATATAAGACCCTTGTTCTATGCGCATAAAAAATAACAATGTGCTCTATGTATAACAATGTGTCCTAATAGGCTATATGCTACTTCATTCACAATTTTAATGCCAAGTTAATGTTATTCCCTCACAAATAGACACGAAGAAAGAGAAGTAAAAACCTTTGCAGCATGATCTAATGCATTGAAAATAAATCTATATTATTGAACTTATATTTGCACCTTTCAATTTCATCCTTAAATCATATAAACAGTGTAGATTACTTCGTGTAACATTCTACAATATTCATACTCTAAAAATTCATTATTTGTGTACCTTGGGCTGGTATGTGACATATTGAACAGAGTTTTATGGGTTAGAAGAGAAAGGTTAGAAGATATAAGGTTTTATCAGCCATTTGCATGCATCATAAACTCTTGCTCAAGATTGCTTCTAAGCTGTTATGCATTGTACATTGTGACTCCGTTGAAATGGCAGAATGCATGGTAGTGCATATAGAAAGCAATTTAATGGTTTTCTGAGCAATGACTTATGAGACACACCTCAACTTCATAACATGTATATACCACTGGCAACACGTCTTATGAATATTCTCCCATTTTTCTAATCGATCAAAATATGTGGTAAATGTTGTGCGAAGTAATCTTTCCTACATAAACATCACATGAATGTAATGATGTATGGAAGTCATTAATGTGAGCATTAGAATGTACCTTAAGACTGCATCACAATATTTCAAACTGTGTAAATGAAGAGTTCACATCAACCCTGTCATGATAATTTAGTTCAGAGTTTTAAATAGTATTTAGATGAAACTTTGCCTCCTACTTAATGAAACACATGATGTAGTATACATGCATACTACATTTTTTTTTAAAGTCACAGTAACATCACATGAAATACCAGTAAGAATGGTGAATATTACAAATCTCAATCCACACAGTCTAGTGATTATGCATGTCTTTATTTTCCCCTGGATTTGTTACCTTTTTTCTTTCTTTTGCCCCCACTTGACTTGTTATTTATTTATGTATAAAATCATAACAGTTTTGCTCTTTTGAAGCAGTTTACCACTTAATAAGCGAACAAAGCCTTTTATAGAAGTTTTTTGATAAGCTAAGATAGCACAGGGTGAATAACTATCAGTACAGGTATACAAGTATTCTATTCATATTCCCCCCATAGCATAAGATATGTTAGTAACAAAACTGAGCCCAAAAGAAGAAAAAAAGGAGATGTTATTTTATCCACAAATGAAAGAAGATGTAATAATGACAGGTTTCACTATTCCTCATCAGAGCTTGCATCAGATGAAATGCTGTTTACATAACATGATAAAAGGATGACTATCAAATATTGAAGGTAAGGAGAGTAAGAACGATAACAATCTAGGGATGACATCAATCGACTAGTTGAGTTGATAATCAGTGTTTACAATGATGGTTGAAGCTTGACTGTATGCCGGCAGACACCTTGTCCTATGACAGCCATTGTTTTCCTCCTTGTTTGCGATTGATTAGTACCATAAAGCTGCTCCGATAGATATCATAAAGCTGCTCCGACCAACCGATGGATATCTGAAAGCCAGGCTATTCATGCTTGGCTTGGCGTAGGTTTGCTATCCTGAGCCATTCTCATCACCTTCCTTCTCTAGCTGCAGCTTCCCCATACACAGTACACACCGTTAAACACTCTAATAGTCCACGCTATGTGTTTCTTCACCGTTTCAGTTTCTATACAGCGCCCTCTATGTCAATCCATGGGGGCAGTCCTTACAAAATTGTGCCGTAAGAGTTCAGCGGCCGAGGGCCGGTCGGCCAGGATTTTTTTGAAGCAGAGGGTGAGAAAGTTTCTTGCGTCTTGAGACACACTTTGTGGAAGTACAGGCTCGGTCTCCTTCGTAGCAATCTTAAAGATGGCTGCCATAGCTTCGTAGTCCGCCCAGGGGGGTTTGGTGGTCAACATTTCAACTACAGTACAACCGATACTCCTGCAAATAAACAAACAAACAAATATCTTAGACAATACTGGCAGATATACTACAATCAAATAGAGCTTATAAGTCATTTACATATGCTTACTTTCTTTATTTAATCAACTTTACAATTGTTTATAGTGCTGCACTTTATTCCCCCCTCCCCCTAAATACAAACATTACAATACAAACAAAAAATAAAGGTTCATTTCAATATGAATAACACATTTTGAAGGGAAATTAAGGTGAAGATTCTGCCAGAGTGCTGATAATTTGAAAAAAATTCATTGGTAATATTCTTTTGAAAAGTCGTTTACATCACATATCATCTGATAATTGATCCAAAATGGGCATTGATTGGGCCTTATATTTGTCTTTCTGCTCATGCATGTGATAAATTCTTTAGGAACATGTATCAGAACTGGAAGTGTACATTAAAGGGATCCGGTAACTTTGTCTCAGATTCTGAAACAAAATCCTGGATTAAGCTCATGCTGCAATGATAATTATAAACCTTTAGGTCTGCCAGGAATTCCATTACTTTTACAAGCCAATCGCCTGTCTGATTATCAAGATATTTATGATTGAAATTACACATTTTGAAAACTGTTTGCCCAACGGTTTTCATAACACTACAGTTTATTGGGGAAAATGAGTTTGGTAAAACCGGTCACTCAAAGATTTTTACTTTTTTGAGGCAATTCTTGATCATTTTGAAGCGCAATTTTTTTTTAGGGCTTCAATATTACACCATATCACAGACACTGATAACACATAGGGCCGTGCATCTCAGATTTAACATTGTTAAACGATCCCTTTAACTAAATTGTTGATGAGTTTCAGTCTGTACTCACCACACATCGGCTCTCCTTCCATACCCCTCTCCGTTGATGATCTCAGGGCTCATCCAGTATGGGGTACCAGTCACTGTCTTCATGCCTGTGATATGACTATGTATAGTCTGTAACCTGGTAGAGGCACCAAAGTCTGCTAGCTTCACGTTACCACTCGATCTCAATACATTGGCACCTGGGTGGAGAATAGAGAACATTAACATGGTTACATGAGCTGGTTGACCCGATGGACATTATTTGAAAAATGTAAATGAACATGTAAATATAATCAAAAACATTTCAATATAGGTATATATATGTACATGTAATAATAATAATAATAATACATGAGATTTATATAGCGCCATTATCCATTTTTATTAAATGCTCAAGGCGCTTCAAAATATTGGGGAACACATTATATCATGACTAAGAATCGTGTACATTTACATAAGAAAGAAAATGCAAAAATGAAAGAATGAATGAATGTCTGTCTTCAAAATGCAAAATTGAACAAATGGGATTTAAGGTCACCTGAAAAACTTCTCTATGGAACTGAGTATACAAACATCAAATTTCAGAATGTTAGAAAAACATAATTGGAAAGATGCAAGCAGAAAGATTAATATTCAATTCACAGAAAATGAATCATAAGAACTTTTTTTCAAATTCAAAATGGAAAGCAGCACTACACCATCCAAGAGAGAATGACAACTCATTGCAGAGCTGTTGTCATCAAATTTGACAAATGTCATCAAGGTGACACATGAATTTTTTTATTCTAAACCCCCTGTGAAAAAGAAATTGTGTAAATTCAAACCTTTGATATCTCTGTGTACTATATGATGATCATGAAGATAAGCTGTCCCTTCTAAGATCTGTCTTGTATACTTCCGTGTCACCGTGTCTGTCAATGGACCGTAGAGTCGAAGTTCATCTTTTACCGATCCCTGCAAAGACAACCAAAGAAAACTCAATTATTCACTTGCATACCGGTATCTCTTCATGACCTTGATGTAACATTCTTCAGGTAGCCTACATGAGTTCTCTCAATAAATGATCAAATGGAGAAGCAAAACATGAAAGATATATGTCATACTCATGGTTCAAAGGTTGAGTCCATATTGGTCACATTAATGGATTTGCTATTAATGCATACTTCTTGGTGCATTAAAATCATCTAATAACTTAAGATGAACTGATTTCTATAAAATAGAGTGCACACATTTTTTTTTCACAATGAAATTGGAAGAGGAACTGAAATAAACCATGAGAACAAATAGTCATGTGACCAATACAATCACCATTGATCATGTGAGATGTCAAAGAATGCAGGTATTCAACAGCAAACTTACATACAGCAGCTTCTATTCAATTCTTTCAGTACGGAACCCTAGCTACTAGAAAAAAACACAGAACCCAAGTTCCTTTTTTATGCCATGAATTCTAATTACTGCTATCAATAACATCTTACAGGGAAGTAATATTAACATGAAATTCAAAATAAATGCAACATCAAGCACTATGATGTATGTACCAGCTGTCTGAAGATGTATTACATGTACATAAAATACAATGATCTAAAGCCACTGAAACAGAAGGCATCACAATATATCTATTTTCAATCACTTCTTTTGCTAAAGGGCACGCCTGAAAGGCTGTATGCATGGGGGAACTGAGCCTCTAATAATAGAGAAGCATGCACTTCAACTGTAACATAACTCAATGGATATTGGTGTCCTTGTGAGACTTCTCAAGCTCTATACCTGAAGACTAGACCGATTCAGGTCAACGAGTAATGACAAAGCTTTATTCATCCAATCATTGTTTAGTAAAAAATAAAGCAGTCCTCTTTTATTTACTTCCTACAATAATCACATCTATCAATTAGCCTACTTATATATTCCAGGTCACTTCTTAGACAAACAATAAATGAGATAACGCAACAAATTGGTCAATATCCTATATGCTCTAGTAAATTTGTAAAAATTAATCATCATTTATGGTTCTCATGATTTGTTTCAACAGTCATATTTACATTTTGTTTTCAATTATAAAGTTCACACATCAAATGATATTCAAACATAATTCATTTACAGATAGTTTGTTGGATGATTAGGCAAAATTACAAGCATGCCATTACAGAGTGTGAGGTACAAAGGTCATTATGGACATTAGTTTGGTGATATGTAGAGTTATCACTGCATGTAACTCAATGGCAGAACTCACCCCTGACATGAACTCCATGAAGATGGACAGTGTTCCATTCTCTTCAAGACATCCAAAGTATTGCACTATCCTAGGGTGCTGTAGGTTCCGCAATAACTCAATCTCTTGCTTCAGCGATTGCACCTCCTACAAAAGAAATCATTTAAAAACACACTTTATAGCAAGACATCTGAAGCATTGGCACAGTTGACTTAGGAAACTGTTGTACAAATGATTAAGTAACTACAATCAATATGAACATAATGACATGTCATGGTTTGCGTGTATTATTCAAGATCAGTATTCTAAACAATAAATCAATGAAATTATGACTCTCATGATGTACACATACACCTGCCAAGTTAAAGACCAGTCGATTGTACTCTCATTTACAAAATCAACAATGTATAATAAACATGTTAAAGTATGCCATGCTATCACATGAAAAAAACATACACATTTATGGAACAGGCACATGGAAGCATATGTTATTCAAAGCCTTTCTGCACTAGTTCGGCCAGGAGGGATTAGACCTCCCTGCATGGTCACTGACAGGTGGTTATCTCATCAAATCAGCTCTCAATTAACGTAAGAAGAAGGGCATCATGGGGGACCAACGGGTACCGCTATTGTTTGCTATACAGAGGTGCAAGTAGCTGCAAGTAGTGCAGTCCCGCTTTAAAGGATGCTAAATGAACTTACTTTTCTAGCATCAGTATTGCTATTCTCAGTAGGAACCTGTTTGACTGCTAACTCCCTGCCTGTATCAGCATCATAGCAAACATATACAACCCCAAACGCTCCTTGTCCTAACAGCTTTCCTCTCTGCCAATTAGTCGGGGCTCTGGGCGCTGGAGTTTGGGAGAAAAAGATGACATATGTGAATGGAATATATTTTCACTAAGTGCATCAAAGATGAGTTGCTCAGGTTTCAAATAAGGAAATGAAAGTAAGACCTATATTTTTTTAAATCAAAAGCACAGTTACTTCCTCAGAATCCACAACTTAAAGTTATAAATAGTGTCATGAAAGCAAGGATACAATACATGAAGAGCTTGCAGATAGCGATTCTTCAAATCTAATCATGCTATGAAGGGCAAAAACTCAAGTTGTTGGTTATTTTTATGGATGTTTTTCAATTAAAAAAAGGAAACAATACAAAAATATCAAAAAGACAAGAATTATAGATATACATATGCCTAATATGGAATACTTTGAAGAGCTACTACATGTTTCAACTTAGCTAAAGCCATTGCAGTCTCAATGGGCAGTCTTTGGGGATATCCAAGCTATTTGACCCAAACAATACCAACCATATCTCAAATATTACTATCTCTGGCCTTTACTAGCACCCTACTAGAGTTTAGATCAAACCAATTATGAAGTATGATGACACGATCAATGAAACTTCATGTTCACAATGCCTCAAAACTTGGTAATAGATGTGACACCAAATAAATTGGACTTGCCCTTAAAATGTCATTGCACCAAACGCTTTACATGAATTAGCCCACTATGGTAACTTACATCTTGTATTATCAGCTAGATTGAATGATTTGGGATGACCTCCAGCCAGACCCTCCAGGTCACCTTCAGTCCAGCGTCTTGGAATGCTACTATCTGTATCATAGTCTGGACTGATCCCGCTACTACTGCTTCTCCCTAGTGATGACAGGGAGTCTGATATCGAGTGCTGGTCGTCGTGCATCGATGCCAACGGTGGCCTCTTGCCTCTACTTGGAAATGTTTTACGACCTAGACGTGGTGGAGGAGAATCCAGAAATCATGCAATAAGCTCATGATCCTTAACAAACTTAAACCAGCCTTTTGTGAAGATAATTAATCATCATGGTTGTAAAACTTTTATCCCACTTCCAAAGTATGATTTCCAATATTATAAATACAACAGTCACACCACTAAACAGACTAAACACTGACCAACTCTTGTATTTTAGGATTTCTGTTTTGAGGAGTCTCATGGAGGCCGGTCTTGTGTTGATCTTATCTGTGTAACTGGGGTATAATGAAGATAAAATGATACTAATGTATATTCAATTAACAGTCTGAGAGTGGTCCATTTTTAACCAGAAAGCTTTGACAGTAGTTAGGATTTTACATCAATCAAGTAAACAATTACACCTCCATCCTACAACCTGATCCTAGCTAGTCCACTGTATTCAATCCAATGGTATTTAATATAGGAAACATACGCTAAGATTAGTACAAGTCAGGCCATCACAATGGATCGATATGAACTAAAACGACTCACTTTCTATTCATTTACCTAGCAAGAACATCACAAAAACAATGAGCTGTGAGTAAAGATTGATTGATCTTACCATCTTCTGTATCTATTCTGGAAGGCTTGACACTCTGCCGCGAAGGGAAGGTTCCTCCTTTGATCATACCACGACCTACTTGAGAATTTTCTGTGAAATAAAGCAAAAAATGAGATGTTCAGTTAAAGTTAGAGTTTTCATCTATTTCCCTAAGGAAAAATACAAGAAAATGTGCATTCTCCTTTTATCTGGACATGCATTGTTCAACAGGAAGGAAATGTACCATTTGATTTCCACTGTATTCTATTCTACTTCTACTTCTATGGTAATACTCATAAACGCCTGTTCAGCATCTAGATGAGGGTAAAGCATAGAGTTGTTATATACAGCTCTATGCGGTACAGTTCCTGAAAAGGAAACTAAATTGATTCAAGAGCCACCTTGAACTGCTCCAAAGAAGGCAGTTCGACGATGATCTGAGGTAGCTCGTCCCAGTCCTTAAGTGTCCTGAAAACTAAATTTGTAAGTGTCCATTGAAGAGCCTAGTCTCATATATCCTTGTTGTTTACTCCTCCTAGTAGTTCTATGGCGTGAGTAACTCTAGTTTGGATTTGAGATTGTTAAAAACGATTTATTAATCTGACCAGAGTAGTTGAACAGGGTTTAGTTTCGTGACAGTAATGTACTACTCTCCTGAGAGGCACCTAACAGAGGGGGAAAATGCATTAAACATTTGTATAAACAGTCATGAAAGGACTAGAAATCTAATGCATCTGCATGCAAAAAACTGCAGTGCATCGAGAGTTGAGACTATACCAATACTCTATAGACAGTATACGAGGGACTTCAGCAGATTTGCAGTTAGTTGACATTACAATTAGTTGACATTACAATTAGTTGACATTACAATCCCCAGAAGTAAAGACCTGAAATATAATTGGACATGTCTTCAAAATCAGTATTGAAGCTGGCCCTTGTGTAGATGGCCAAATCTGCCAACAAGAGTGAGAACCCGAGTCGAGCTGTGAGGATGATCAGTGAGGCTGCTAAGGCCGGAGCTAAGGCCGGAGCTAAGATCGTTACCCCCCCCCCCCTGAATGTTTCAACTGTCCTTACGGCACCCAGTTCTCCATGGAGTATGCGGAGAGCGTACCAGGCAACTCCAGTCGAACACTGGCTGCGGCTGCTAAAGAACATAAGATATTTGTGGTAGGAGGTTCCATACCGGAGGAATCTGATGGTACGTTCTACAACACATGCACTGTCTTTGAACCAATGGGAACCTCCATTGCTAAACACAAACAAATCCATCTCTTTGACATGGATGTGCCAGGAGGTATTACTTAAAAAAAATCTGACGTGCTAGGTCAGGCCAGGATCAGACCTGACTACTTTCACTGCAGAAAATGTAAAAGTTGATGTTGGGATCTGCTTAGCCTATAATCTAGGCGGAGTGCCGAGCTTTTTTCTTTGCTGCTAGACTAACCTTAAGCAGAACGTCTGATACGGCGAGACTACAAACCGTGAGTCGCGAAGCGGCTCACAGCCTATAATCACTGGTCTAGCTAATCAATATTCAAATATATTCAAAATGGCGGATCTATGAATCATTCAACAGCCCTACCAAATAAGGTACACCTATGTTACGTTCGACCAATCAGATATAAGAATCCGTGGTCGCGTAGAAAATCACAGCACAAGGGGATTGCTTGGTATATTGCACTCTTTCCAAAACCAGTAGGTAATGCAACAAAAATATCCCTGCCGGCTTCAATAACGCTACGAATAGCGGATTCCTGCAGTTCTCTGAATTTTCCATTAGGAATGCCTAGTTTGTTGGCCGCATTATGATAAACTTTCTCGCAGAAGATCGTCGTCGCATGAACTACCCGCAATCTTGGATGAAGAAAATGACGTAATGTCACGTGATTTATAATATGCATATGCATAGACTCTTCTCCATACGTGTTTCTGATTGGTTGAGTTCATTTCGTATTCATGAGGTTTTTTCGTACGAAAAACTGCCACGGATTCATGGTCGATAATAAAAAAACGACTAAAGCTAGACCAGTGATTATAGGCGGTGAGCCGGCTTCGCGGCTCACGGTTCGTAGTCTCGCCGTATCAGACGTTCTGCTTAAGGTTAGTCTAGCAGCAAAGAAAAAAGCTCGGCACTCCGCCTAGATTATAGGCTAGGATCTGCTATGATCGACATGAGATTTGCAGATCGAGTTGGCTCAACTGTACTGCAAGAGAGGCTGCCACCTGTTTCTGTATCCAGGAGCATTCAATATGACAATATGAATTATTCTCACGGAATAAAGTGATTGCATTGGAGGAAATAATAGTCACATTCAAATATTTGTTGATCCTATGGTGTATGTATATGGTTTTCTTTGTATTTCAGTTATTGTTATATTTACTTGCAGGTTTGTATTGTCATTATATTACTGATTTACTCATTTACTAAGCCTCGTAATACTATTGTACATGTATCTTTTTTCTGTTGGTCGATCATTATATACCAATTTTAAAAAAATATATATATTAAAATTAAACAAAAATCTCACACTTTACAGAAACATATACATATATAATATCAAGAGAAAAGAAAAAGTTGGACAAGAGAGGCAATGACAGACCAACGCAAGTTTTCTTTTTTCCAAATTCCTGTCGTTTACATTATTACGGGTCACAAACAGAACCATGAATGACAGAGTTAAAATCACAATTTCATCACAGCTGTGAAATAGAATAACCATAGGAATGAGACCATTCCCTCTAAACAAGAACTAAGCCTTATACTCACCAAAGTCGTCATGGTTCGCACAACTCTGTGACTTGAACATTTTTCCTGTGGCACTGTGGAATCAAATGGAACAATATGGAACAATGAAGTACATGACGGGTGTAAATAGTTTCAAGTAGAATCTCTATTCAATATTAGAGATGAGTGTGTCTAGAACATTGTGTACAGATAATTTTACTCACTCACCTTCACCATAGATTTACATAAAAAACAAAATAATAATAAATTTGTCACATCATATCTGAACAATCATTGCTAAAATTCAAGCATAGAATTCTATTTCTAGGAATTTGACATTAGAATGATAAATAACTCAAATTTAAAAATAAGATGTTGATTTCTAGATACATGGTTCTACATGGGCAGTTTCTAAATGCTACACGAAGGGTAAATGATCTCGGCATGTTAATCTATTTCATTTCATCCTCTCTCTCTCTATAATCCATCTCAAATCTTAAAATGCCCATGTGGATACAAAGCAGGCTTAAATAATTCAGACGTTTGAAATTATAATCGCTTTCTATCATAATAATGGCAAAAAGGTCCTGATTTCCATTAAATAGGAAAATAGTCCACAATGACGTTTTCATGTAATTCTAAATCAACTGTGCGGTAATATACCCTGAAAATGGGACCTTTCAAGATGGAAAGTGTGATTATTGTAATGCTGTTGTAATACATGTACTGGAGTAGAAAGCTAGAAGATAACCTACCTTCCTAATGAATGACTTCCCATCCTGAGTTTATCTAGTGACTGTTGGCTTCCATTGGGGCTCACCATTATTCTCTGGAAAGTAAATAAAAATGAATGATACAAAAATTAAAAAAATCATAACATAATTCACATTTTATGTTAATTTGCTTCATTGAATTCTTGTCTAACCCTTTAACACATCAACATGTAACATCAATAGTTATACTTCGAAAATTCATGTTTTCTATAATTCACAGTTAACAACTATTGGGATGGATATACAGTAGACTTGCGGTTGCACCATGTGAGAGAGAGAGAGGGAGGATTGGGAAGTCCTGAAAAGGACTCTTGATAATCTTTCTTTCTTGAGTGTGTGTAGTCCTGAAAAGGAATGTTGGTGTAGTCTTGAAAAAGACTGTTGGTTATCTTTCTTTCTATTGGGATGGAGTAAGAAGCTATGGATCACGTTCCGTTCATTTCAGTACCACAAATATTTCAATTTTTATCACTATGGGAAGAAAAAAAGTGGATTGTACACCTGTATTGAGTAATATTGATTTGACTTACTGTTTGATTCTATTTGTCAAGAATAAGTACATTTACATCATGGCATATATCAGAGAGAATAATATATAATGTTACAGTATTACCCCTGAAAGCCAATCAACATTTCGTTCATGGAATTGTTACAATATTTTGTACACAAATAAGATTCAAAATCATTCCCAGTTCTCAGATACATTTCGAACATTTAGAAATAAATTGAATAATTTCAAAAGAATAAGGGAAATAAGGCTGAATATTACTTCCCTGATATGGCAAGGTTCAAGAAACATCCATACCTAGAGTAGCACTTGTTCTGAGCATCAGAGATTATCTATCAGACCAGTCTAGATTAGACATAATCCTTAGGGAGATTATCATGAAACCCTACTCACTTTAATCCTTAATCCTCTATGCTAAAAGGGGAACTGACAACTCATAAATTTAACATGAAGCCATGCAGCTAGAGTTTCTCTGAGTACCTAGATGGAAGGCAATCTTATTTGATTATGCTGTAAAATCATGGCAGGCGGGTGGGTAAATGTAATTCATTCTCAAATTAGTAAAAGGGATCTAATTCTGAACAGATTGTTTCCCTCGAATCCTAAATACAATTTGCTTTATATCAAAGCATAAGAAGAAACTAGACGACTTGGCTTGTCGATAAGCATGCCTACCGGTATACTTTGTGGTCTGAAAAAGATCTTAATAATAAGCTACACAAAATTCTCTCTAAAAGACACGCACTTCATCAATATTCGGCCTCCAATGTGTTATGAGTGAATAATATGAACATGTAGGCATGACTTATGGTTTGTAATATGCAATATGTTGACATCATTAAGTGAATAGAAGATCATGTTACTTTTATATAGGAGTTTAGATACCTTAAGAACAGTAGACCCACAGTTAGGCATATCTACATTTGTTTAATTCACTGTACAATAATCAATGTTTGCAACATGAAACGATCATGAATCTGAACTAATTGCTTAATTGAGAAGAGTTTTATGCAAGCCCAGGTTCCTAATGTTACATGGTATGATAAGCACAAAATCTTATATTGCTGAGGTAGGCCTCCATGCTTAAAGAAATAAATTAAATATTCTTCTATTATATAATGTTGCGGTGCTAAAGCTACAAATCAAGGTTGGAGAGCCATGCAAAAGAGCGTCATCTCACACAAGACAGAGTTTCTAAATGCTGCCCAAAACATTATAAACCCATGTCAAGATAGGTATACCTAATTCAGCAGGGCCCGTCTTACAAAGAGTTGATATCGATCAATCGCAACTATGTACATAAGAGATAGGAGACTTCCAACATGCGATTGATTGGAGGATTTACGATTGATTTGGATCAATTCTTTGTAATACGGGGCCTTGGATGAAAGATTATTTTTCGCTGCCCAGCCGGCCGCCTCTGATTCTTACCTCCTCTGGCGGTTCTGGAATGAAAGTGCCCTCCCCGAATGTCTGAAGTCTTGACTGATGACCCATATCAACCATGGCATTAGCAGGTACATAGCCAGGAGGTGGAGATGGGTTAGCATTATCTCTAGTAGGCATCTCCTGCGTTGAGTATCGTTTGTGTGTCGTATCATGACTGGTATGGACATGATGGTCTTGGGGTACTGATTGTGATCGAGACGGTGATGTGTGCTTGGACTGAGGTATGGTACTACTGCTTCGGATCTAAGGCAATCAAACACAAGGTTGTAATAATAATAATCATAATAATCTTTTAAATTCCACTTCAAATTTTATTAATTTAAACTGAAAATGGAAATTCTTTTTGCCCAATAGATCGTGAGCCCGGCAGCCACTGAGCAGCGCCAGATCGCTCTATCCCTTATTGTTGAACGCCCAACAAGGTACAGGTGTAGCAGCAACTCCCATCTTTTAACGTCTTTTGGTATGACGCGACCGAGGTTCAAACCCACGACCTCCCGGTTGTGAGACGGACGCTCTACTGACTGAGCCAACACACCATTAGTGATTGCGCATTTACATTCAGTCAAACTCTACATAAAGATCACTCACAGGTAAAGATTGTCGTTAAAAGCACACACTCCGCAGGTTTTAATGAAAGATAATTCAAAGAAACTTCTTAGTACAAGCCCCTATTAAAAAACTTACATGTATACATGTATCATGTTTACATGCAAAATTCTTCTTGCCATTATTTTTCCCAGATCACTGGTGTGAAAACAAGACTTTCAAATGATGATTACTTGTGGACATACTAAAAACATTTATCTTATGAACCGCTTCAGTCCTCTGAAAGAGATTTTCCAGTTAACAATGGAAATAGTCTTGGTGTTATAAATCCTCTTTCATGAGACCGTGAGCATGGAAACATAAATAATAAAATAAATAATATTAAAACGATGCATATAAAGCGCTTACCACCAAAGTCTCTTCATTGAGTAAACCATATCAATATAAAACTTAAAAGGTAATTGCGAGTTCTGTTAATGTCAGAAAATTTGATATCCTAATATTACCAAACTTAAACCAAATACTCAGTAGTCAGTACTACAAATAAAATGATGTCTGATGACTACCTTGGTAGCAATTAGTGTAAGAGCTGAGTACTTGGTATAGAAGGAAAATAAAATCAACCAAGTCATCCCAATGGTTTGTCACAAAATTGATGCACATTTTCAGTACATGTGATTTCCCGCAAGTTTTCATCACTTACGTTTACTTTTTGCTGATCCTAAACAACATTCTTTTGCATGATTGAACAATTCAGAATTGCTTGAGGCTGGTTTCTATAAAAATGCAGTTCCATGAGCAGATCTCAGCTTAGTAAGGCACTGTTAAGCAGGCACACCTGAAGTGGATCTAGCTTTCCTGTTTGATAATAACCCTGCTCATTCATTGTACTTACTGCAGTGTCGTAGAGATCTCTCTTAGAGCTGCCATTATTATTAGAAGATGAACCTGGTGTAGCGAGTTCTAGATGAAGCCTGAGGCTCTTAGCATTTGGGTTATTGTCAGTGATCTCTACTGCATGATTTAGATCCGTCTGATCACGTATTGGAATTAGTAACTGGGGAAGAAGAGAAACAGTTGAAAATCAAAATTAAGATCATGTAATTCAATTCAATTCAATACAGAAGGTCTAGTGGAAACAAAAACAAACAAACAAGAAGCATCACAGGAGATCTTTTCCTGAAAGTGCAATTTCTTCTCATTAATTTGATGTATTATTCTGTTCTTTAGCTCGCTTTATATAGCTCAATTACTCACATATATCTTCACTGAGGAAGTCATATATGAGGTCAAGTTTTCATCGTTAAAACCTCTACTTTGCTACTGAACGTTTCCTGCATATCATTTGAATAAGTTAAAAAGCTAGTCTACTACATGCATACATACTATCCTTTGTACACAAAAAATATTTTAAAAAATATATATGCATACACAAGACAATGTACATACCGAGAATGTAGTATTATGGTTTGTGAGGAACATATCCACTGGCTGCCCAAATGTTGTCCTTGCTTTGAGCAGTATGTCATCATACTTGAGTGGTCTTGGGATTTGTAATATTCTAGAGGGGGAAGAAGAAAAAAAAGAGTGAAAAATCAGTAATTGTTAAATTTTTGTTATGCTCATATATTGTTTTCTTCCTGGCATGTATGTGTGTACAACAACAGCAACAAAATAGTTTTGGTAAGGAATTTTAAACGTTATAAGATTCCTCTATGAACTGTAAAGAAATGGCCAACAACGTAAGAGAGGGGGAGAAATACAATTATTGAAAGTTAATATCATATGAATCTTGCTAAATGTGAAACTAATATTGAAGGGTAAACTTTTTTTAACCAAACTTGGCTCTTCAATCGAGTTAAGTGATTTCATATTTGTTACTATGGTAACTATGGTTTTATATCTACGGTACCCTTGTAGAAAAATCACCCTCAACCATGTCCCTCTTACCCTTCTAAAGTACAGTGTTGTATGAGTCTTTGTTATTTCTTAGAGCTTGTAAAAGTCTCTTTTTTTTTAGCTTGTAAAAGTCTTTCTTAGAGTTGATAAAAGTCTCCTCTTAGAGTTAAATCTAAAGCTGTTGATAAATTGTGACAAATCTTAAGCAGAATTGCCCGTTAGTCAGCAGACAATCCAATAAACAGCACAGTGACTCGTTTTATTCTACCCTTATATATATTATTTTCCTCAGGCAAAAAGAGCAAGCGAAGTATTCTAGGATTTCTGTGTAAGAAACGATAACATGATCCCACCGGGAGGAAGACATTATTCACACACAATACTTCACACTTTGCTAACAAGACTCTGATTTATAGGAGAGGAAATTAACATGGAGACTTGGCGTATCTGTTCTCAATTACTGATGATATCTTTCTAATGTCACCCAAGTGTCAACTTGGCAGGTTTGACTTCTGAAAAACCTTTTTGCAACCTGTTGAACAGATCAGTTACATCTGCCTTACTCTGAAAAAATATCCTTTAAAAAAAGTTTTCCAAAATATTATTGTATCCATGCCGCCAATAAATATATGAATGTGAATTGATAAAATAAAACTTTAAAATTCTTAGCTTACTTATAGAATCTGTCAATAGAATGATTGAAATAATAAAATGTTAAGGTACAACATGATCAAATATTGTCTGCCAAGATCTGAACATGGGCATCAACTTGTAAACTTCAAAACAGAGTATATGTCCTTTTTTACTCTGAACACTTTAAATAAAATACTCATCTTCTCAAAAATCAAGAAAATATAGAAATTAAATAAATAGCCTGAGGAATACAACTTAAAATAGTTGATTTAAAAGGAGGCATGTAATCAATGCATAGTTTCATGCAAATGATTTATAAATTCAACCAATTCAAACTCTTGATTTACACAGCCTCAATTTTCCATCAAAGCCAAATACGGTAACATCGGGTGATGAGTTTAATAGCGTGTGTCCATTAGTAGGTGACATAATGAACAGCATTAAGGCAAGGAAGTAACATGGTATTCTCAGAACTTTGTGTCATAATTCATCTCATATTTAAAATCATATTTCACACTTATAAGGTCCCTTTTCAATATCCTCCCCATAACATATCTCGTATTTCATATCATATTCACACAAAGCAGGTCCCTACCAATATCCTCTGTATAATGTGAGTCAGTTCAACATGACATTGATTTCATAGCTTCCTATCTTGAACAATATCTGCTCCCATCCACCCAAAATTGATGAGAAACATTCAGGGAAGGAAGGATGGACATCATCATCTAAATCAAACACAGGAGCACAAACTATTGGAAACTGTTTTTATTATAGACTCAAGTCATGTCACTCACCTCTTCTCGCCATTGAATTCAAACTTGACTCGGATCTCAGTCTGCAGGAAAATAAAAATAGCAATAAAGAATGAAGAATGGAACAAAAATAGATCTTTTATATTTCCTATTAAAGAATTTAAACTATATTTCATGCTTTTGTTTGCAAGTTTTTCACTTTTAACATTTCTTTGACATGTGAACTGATGACTCAAGAACATGAAGTTGACTATAAGTAGCTGTTGTATATCTGAAAAACGCAAGTTTCTCGAGGGTGCCAAGTATGGGTTTTCTTTAGGGTGCCGAGTATGGGTTCAAGTAAAGTATCCTCTAACCTCTAGTGATATGCTTTAATCATTTTCATACTTATAGATATTTATCCAAAGTCAACATACAATTCACACACATCAATTTGTTTAAATGTTATATAATACTTCACAAGTTAAATCAAACACTATTGGAGCCAAGGATTGTTGAGGATTGTTGATCGCTGATTTTTTTTTTTTTTGGGGGGGGGGGGGGTATCAGAAAGAGCATTTTGTTTCAACTATCGAGCTAAACAAGATTTTTATTCGACAAAAAGTGTGAAATAATTTGCCTTAAAATGAGATTTGCAAGTATTAGCACGGAAGAATACAAAAAATCACTTTAAAAAAAAGAGTGAAATAATGAGGAAAATTTCTCTTTCAATATAATGATAATCTTGTATTTGAAGCCTAAATCTTCCAATTAATATTGTTTTAAAGCAGCTTGAGATAGAGTTATACACAATAATCATCTTATTTCGCTAATGTAAATAATATTTTGTAAGACCTAATCTAGACAGACCGTATACATCTAACTTGGACAGGGGGAGAGGTGGGTGACACAAGGTAAATGAAGCCTATGGTATCCACACACATAAAAAAAGAAGCTGTGTCATAGAAGCGATCTATCTCAAACGACTTCCTCTCTCCTGCCGCCAAATCGCGCTAAAAATATCTCCGGCGGAAGATCTCCTGCGCTGCGTGCTTGTGCAGGCTAAATGGAGGAAATAGACCCGGGTCTTAGTGTCGTTACGCATTGAGCGGATCAGTGCATTGCTTGATAGGCAAATAACGGGTAATTGAGTTTGGGTGAGATGTGAGTCGCATAGACTGACAGGCACCATGGTGTTTAGATGGGTGTCGCATAGACTGACAGGCACCATGGTGTTTAGATGGGTGTCGTTTTTGTGAATGGAAGACATGCTTGGACATAGAGGGCATGTGTTTCTGCATGTCAGTCCGGGGGAAAGGAAACCTGTTGAACTTGAGCTTTCTGTTTAGGAAGCATAGAGGTATAGCTAGAGGTATATACATATATCAATAGCAGTCAAAATACATTCTTCAATCCGTAGACCTCCCATTTAATGATCGACTGATTCTAACAAATTATTACTAGCAATTAAATAATCAACTTATAATGCTGGTGATTGTATGTCACGGACAGATACAGATAAACACCGGTAGCAGAGAATTTTGTGTTGTACTGTACTATTCTCATTCCAATTCCATGAAATGAAACAACTTTATATAAATTTTGGAAGAAAGCGATAAAATTAATCTTTATTTAAGCAGTAATAGGGTCTACGAAAGTCTATGAAGCATAGACAACCATCAGAGTCTTCACATGTGTCTGAGATTAGCAGAACAGGTCATAATCTATTTCTTGCCTTACACCTAGTGACCTAGCAAGCATGTTGTATCATGGTAGACCACAAAGCATGGCATGTTCTGGTTTCCATGACAACTTACCAGTAAAGCCACTCCAGACACAAAACACTTGCAACCCTTATCACAACAGTACTTTCTAAGCTTTGTTTCTACTCCTTTTCAAATTCCAAATGTATCTCATCTATCATGCAAAATCTTACAAGTATCACACAGCATTTGTAAGTTCAATTTTCAATTGCTCTAGAATGAATACAAACATTTAAAATTTTCCACTTAGTATTTTTTCTATGGCTCAGTGTGATCCTTGACTTAGGTGGTGTAAACAACATTTTTTTTAAAGAAAACAAGATTTCTTTGGTAACATAATTGAAAAGATACATGTATTTGAGTGCACTGTGATCTCCTACAACATGCATGGAAACTAGGCTATTTAGAGGTGTCCTGTAAGTCATGTATACTGTATATCAACACGTAGAACGGACAGTGATAAAGTCCACACAAAGGTAATTAGTTGTTATTGTGTTATAGTTCATCTACAGATTAGTGCTTAATTAGTCAGTAGCCTGTTCTAATACAATCTCTATTGCAATCAAATACTGGTCAAAAGGGGAAAACCCTGACATCGACACTATCCAACATATGGCATATATAATAACTGTGCTCATCTGCATGTATAGTAGGCCTACAAGCTACATATACCTCTTGTAGAGAAACTTAACAATAAACATCATGTAAAATAGTTTTTAAATTGTTTTCAATTATGCATGTCCATTTTCTTTTCTGACATGCAGTTCTTTTTGGATTTTCTATAATTACAATCAATTAGCATTAACAAAAGTTAGCAATTTTATAAGAAAATTTCTCAGACTTATTTCATCAAGCTGGCACGAATATGGAACTAGGGCATGTGAGCAGCAGCAGTGCTATATCACAGGTAAACACAGACGACAGAGGACAGGAAACTGCCCCCTCCTTCTTCAAACTCTTGGGTCAGTAATGAATTAGGGTAATTAAGACAGACATAGTAATCTTTTAACGAGATAACTCGTAAGCTAGGCTCTATAGACAAAACAGGTGTGATATGGTACCTAGGTACAATATATCAATTAGTCTTGCTGGCATGGAAAAGATTCCAGTGGCGTGGATGTATAAAGTCAATAAAAAATAGCTATTGGCAGTTTGATATATGGAAGTCCTCATGAAAATTGCAAATATGTCTAATTTCAATTTATGTTTTTTTTTTTAAATGCTGATATCAAACTATTAATAGTCCTCCAAACGGAATCAACATTCTCCTTTAGAAATATTATTCAAAAGGACAAAATTCTTTATTTACTTTGAATTCAACTTCCTAATATTTCTTGTTGACACAGGACAATTTTAGGAAAATCACTGTCATGTAACCTGGTAAGGACTCTACCCTTTTTACACGCTTTTGCTCTTTAAAAATGTACACACTTCAGTGACTGCACATTGACTGTTATTTGCTAATTCCACCTTTTTATTAATATTCCTATGAATTACTCCAACCAAAATGAGGCAGGTGTTTTTGCATTTAATAAAGCTGTATTGAGATGGGGGGGGGGGATAACCATAAACAAAGAATGTCTTGCTGATCAAAATACTTTCACAAACATAGAGAGTGAGTGGTCCAGATTCTTAAAAGTTTCATGCTACAAGCTAAATGAACCATGACACTCAACTTTTGCAACTTTGCGCAAACTCTCACGCTACGAAAGAGGTCATTATTTTAATACAATCTGAGGAACTTAAAGTTTTGTTGGTGTAAGTGAAAGGCAAGAGACGGGAGAGAGCTTGATACTTACAGAATGTGATGATGAGCTTCCTCTTCCTCGATTACGATTGCCTTGTACTCTCAATGATATCAGATTATCAGTGATCTCACTGATCACCTGATTACTGTCGGCTGCTGGATCCACTAGAGAAAAAAAAGAAGAAAAAAAAAGAAGAAAAAAAAGATGTTTGATATAAGTTAAAACAAAGTCAACATTACATCACAATATACCGGTAATCATATAAGGAGAAAAGGGCAGTCTATATGTACATTCAATTGACTTTACATGTAGGCTGCATTTATAAGTGTGGGTTTCTTTCTGTGCAGAATACAGACATTAATTTAGGGAAACCATAAGTACAAGTTTGCCAACATCCCACTGAAACTCATGGTAAATTTTAATACACATACATTTACATGTAGGCCAATATGTTTTAACTTGATGTAACATGGTTTTGTTAAATGTTGCCTGATTCAGAAACATTCATATAGCATAGGTTGTTATGGCACTTTTCCTAGTTGCATTATCAAACTCAATTGAAACTCTTTTGGCAAGACATTAATCTACATTTGCCACACTCTACCCAGGTGAGGTAAATGGGTACCTGGTAGGATTATTCCTTGAAATGCACTGTGCGCTGATACGGCTGCTGGAGCTAAAGTTAGGGTAATAATTTCCAAAGCTCTTTGGAAGCGCATAGGGACGTTATAGAATGTAATATGCGCTATACAAACACTAAATATTATTATTAACTACGTCATACAAAGGAGCATGTTTAAACATAGATTTGCCACAATGTGGTTTTATAAATTCTCACTAATGCATCCAGGATCCTATGGATGTGTGACGTCAAACTGTGGGCTGCAGACACACAACACACAGATAATATTCTTTTCACAGAATGGCTGAATACCCTTATTCCATAATTAATACAATCATGAAGGTATGGTGGGGCTGAAACTAGTCTAGACACTCAAGAAGCTGCATCACTACTTGTTCAATTAATAATCATTGTATAATGAGGGTAAACTATGCAATTTTCAACAGAAGTATTCTTGTAAAGGTCGGCTGTAGCCTTTCCACATAACTGTGGTCAACCAATCTGGTTGCATAGCAGACAATTTTCTTCCAAACTGTGAGTCAAAATATAAAAACTCACACATATCCAAGGCTAAGATCACAAGAAGTATATCTTTAGTCAATAAACAATACAAGCAGTCCGAGTGGTTTGTAACTTGTATCCGACTATACCATACATGTATTTACAATTCAATTCAATTTTCTAAAAAATCAAGGATAATTAAAATAGAAGCATTTTAGTATTTAGTTACATATATGTGACTTCCAATTCTTTAAAATATGGACGGGATTTTTAGCCATTTGTAAAGCTATCGCCACTTGACATGAAATCTGATCAAGAGAGAGAAACTGAGCGTGAAACCTTAGGTCTTAGATACAGCATGAAACTAAAATAGCTACGGTATATATCTTAAATCTTTATTATTTTTATCACGCACATTCATACAGCTACAGAGCAGGTGGTGTTTACTGTTGTTATTATTTTTTTTTTTTGGTGACCAGTCAAGAATGATTCTTTTTGCCACTAGTATTCACTGTAATGTTCTAGGGGGGGGGGGGGAGGGGGGAGGGGGATATATCACAGGCTAAAGGCTTCATGTACAGTATCTAGTCTATGGTTCAGACCTTAAAAGATCATTAAGTAGAGTTAGTGCATGAAAGTGAGGATGAAGTATCTAGTGAAAACCTACATGTAGTCTACAATCCAGACACCGAATGGTAAAGCATTTGTAAACATACATTTACATGTAAAACAAAGGTACTGAGGAGAAACAATAGTCTATGTTTCAGACCCTGTTTAGTTGCTATGCAGGGTTTGTGACAAAATTTAAAATGTAGTCATCTGAACTCGTCTCTCAGTCACGACCTAGTCAAACATTAGCTAGGGTACTGTATTAGCTATTATTTTCATGAATTTTGCGAATTGCATATTATCGCAAATTTATCAACACACACAAAATATTGCCACCTAATCATTCCAGAGCAAAAAAATATCAACATAAAATGATGTGCTTGCGCCCTCTCGATCGCCAGCAGCATTTGCCTGGCCACTGCCACTACTACATGTACGTCAATGTATATAGCTTGTTGTGTGACAGCGGTTGTAACACTTCCTCAGTGATTCCACTTTGCGCGACAGCAAGTGGGGAAGTTCCCATTTTTTCAAAAAAGTTTTGTACTCTTTAGTAACCCTTATCAACAATTTGAATACATACTTGGTATTCTAATCACCATGCATTATGCTTGCACGCCTGTCTTAAAATCAATCAGCCTTCTCGCTCTATGCAGGTTCGGTACTTGGCTGTATGTGGTACGATGGGCTGCTCAAACTTGTGTGTGTATGGATGTTGGCGTGAGAAAGTTCGTAAATACGTCATGCCCATTCATTAATTCTGCTGTGTGCTATTCGCGAAAGCAACAACTCACAAAAGGTCTCTTAGCCTGTCATTCGTGAAAATACCTATACACCAAAATATCAGCTTACAGAACATGAATGTAGGCAAGGAGAAAACATAGTTTAAAGTCCAGTACCTGCATTGTCCCTATGCATGGTTTGTACTTGTAAACTGGGTTGTATGTACTCGCTTGAGGAGCTGCATGACTTGACAAACTTTCAAAAGTATTTTTTGTTTCTGTTGTGTTTGTTGAGTGGGATGGGATTTTATGAGAGATACAAATATGCCAATTATTTATTACCCCTTGTCGGCCAACCATACGTGTCTAATATCCTTATCTAAAATTACTTCTATAGAATTAAGAGACAAAAGAGCATCCATCCTCCCCCCCCCCCAAGTAAAGGCATAGCATTAAAGTCTGTCAAAGAAAACAATTCATTTCATATTAGGCCTGCACAGATGTTAACTCTGTTAATTTTCACCAGGAAGGTGGGACTGGAAGGGGAATTTGCTTTCATGCAAATATATGCAAATATCAAAGTTATTCAACAAGGTTAATAATTCAACCCAAAATCAAAATACAAGATGAGGTCTTGAAAACTCATGTAGAAAGTGAACAGGATGAGCCCCAGAGCTGAATGTGTTCTAAAGGAAGACCTCGGTAGATCACAGAGTGTCAAAATTATATTACAAGAGGAAATGAGCAAAGCAGATGACCTAGATCTAGATTCTAAACTGTCTGGTAATTCATACTCTGGAAGTACTAAAAAAGAATCTCCAGGTCACACCTACCAGCGCTGGACTTTCCAATTTATAAAAATGATCGGCCTATTCTGATCTTATGCAGGATTTCAAAATCTCTTAAGGCTTGTAGAACCTGGAGGTCCTGTAGTCCAGTGGTTAGATCACTGGACTGAGGATGCAAAGGCTTTGGGTTCAAACCCCAGCACAGCACTTTTTCCTTATCCCTTAAGCAAGGCATTCTATCTTCATTGCCTCTTTCCACTCTTGTTTTAAATGAATACAATGCAAATTTCATTGTCGCTGGATTATAAAAAAAATGTATATAGCAATCTTATCTACATGTATTTTGACAAGACAGAAAAAGGTTTTGAGACAGAAAATTAATGTTCTCCACACTAACCAATTTGGAAAATTTACCAAACATAAAGAGTAGAAGTGCATGTATATCTTAGGACATTAGGACACTTTGATCAAACAGATTAGAAGTTTCTAGTCTCATTGTCATCCCATGTTTGACTGGATGCAGGATGTAACGGATATCATAGTCTATGCCCTACTTCCACATTAAAGGCATTCCCTATGGTTTCATATGTTTGGCTTCTTGGTTGTGATGTGAAAACATCAATAAAATACTAACCGTGGGGAGATCCGAGAAATGCACTTACATTTCCAAGTAAAATTGATATTATAGTTAATGTGCTTTTTTAGTGTGTGCGTTATTTCATAATGTATTACACGCTATACAAGAACTTAATATATAACTATTATTATTCTTTATGCCACTTGTAACTGTTGAAGACACTAAATGAAGCCCAAATGCTGAAGCTATATTTAGTCCTAGGTCTTCTTGGTTTTCCCTCCTCTCAAGAATCAAGATTAACTCCTTTTTGAGTTGTCTGATATGTCATTAATTGTGATCTCTCTTCACATATAAATACTTCCCTTTAAAAGTTTATAGTACCTATTTCAAGTAGAAAGGAAAGAATTGCACACATAAGAGTTCATGCTGGGTTCCTGTATATCCTTCAAGAGAATAAAGAAAAAATTGCTCTGCCTAATGTCTCCATGTTTGCATGTATGGAATGATGAGAGTGGGATATAGGGACACCATACTGTGCACTTAACATCTACTGACCGTAAAAAACACATAGAGCGGAGAAGTAAACAACTAAAGTAAATACAGAAATACAAAAGGTTCCATCATGCATGGCACGGTACTATATCTAGATTCTCATGTACTGTACTGAAACTGACAAAGCATTGGTACTAAATTAAGATTTTTTTTCAATTTTATAGCTCATTTGATCTATTGAAGTATTTCAACCTTTTAAACATTATGTGCCTGCAAGCTGCAAATCTTTCAATTTTCTGTCAAATATCTGGAGCATTTGTAGACATTTTGAGTATACTCTCACAGCTCATGCCGAGTATAGAAACTCAAAGAGAAAATGGCCTTGTGTACTTTTGAACTATGTATTCAGAATTAAGATATATTGTTAGAACCAACCAAATATATCTTCATCAAAACTGGAAGAGCCTTCATGTACATAATACAGACAAGGTCTACATGTACATGTAAACATTTTACAAGCCTATACTAGCAATCAAATCAACAACAAGAATGGCTAGTGAAAATATACAAAGGAGCAAAGAGTGGTTAACCTCAAGAAAAGGCCAAAGCGTTCTTGAAAACTTCATAAGAGCTCTGGTAAATAAAGTAATAAAGTTACCACTGCAAGGAAACATCACTATTATACAAGCAAATATCCCAATACCTATTGTGAACATAATTATGAGAATTGTTATCACGTTGTCAGCTACTTATAATACTCAGCATTGAGTTTGTGCTGGATAGCGATATGACAAGCTATTTTCTGCACCCTTTTTGTTTTAAGAATGGAAAAAATGGCAGAGCCGGTTCAAAA